AATACACTGTAAAATGAAAAGAGCCAAATTGACCCCAAAAGCCAAATTGGCCCCAATTTCTCGAGGGCCAGTTTGGCCCATCAAGGTTCGTTTTGGACTATTTGAGCCAAGACGGGCGGGACAGGTACCATTTCGACCCCTCCAAAATCTGAATTGGCCCCTATGAATTCTACTTTGGAACTTTTTCTCAATTTGGCCCTTCCAAGAGCCAAGTAGGATTGACCAATTTGGCCCCAACGAGGTGCAATTTTTGAAAAAAAAAAGAAAATATAAAATTAATTTTCTTTTTTCGACCATATTTCGTTCCCTATACTATTCCTTATAAAGTGTTCCTCTCGTAACTGAACACCGAGTCACACAACGAATTAATCGTTGGCTTTTTCTCGAGACGTGAGCGTGAGCTGCCTGTGATGGCATTAGTCGAACCTAGACCACGTGCGTCGGAAACAATAATGAATTATAGCAGCGAATTCGTCACTGAAGAGGCTGTTTCTTGGCTACAGTCGCATGGAATGAGACTTAAGAAAGGAAAGGTAGGCAAAAGAAATTTCTTAACAACGTATTTTACTGCAACTTTACATTCACAAACTTGACCGCTCCATTGATCTTTGTTCGTATCTTATCTTGCAGAAAAAGACGGTTGCGATGGCCAAGATCTCGTTGCCATCGCCCAAGATGCAGACGTACCAAGGCACTACATCCCTATTATAAAAGAGCGTCTAAAGCTCAAGAAATTGATTGCAATGAACGCTGAACCTAGAGATGACACGAGTTCTTCGTCGGTACGATAATTAATTTTCGCCTCTTCTCCCGAGTCTTGTTGAGTCTCAGCGGTTTCGCAACTAAAGTCACGTGATCAAATTTTGGCGGCGAGAGATAGAGACGGTTACAGTTCGAATACTGCATTTGCACAAGATGGATTTAACTTATTTCAAGATTCTCTGATTTTAGGATCTCCCACTCTAAATTCTTAATCTTTTTCTTGAAAAGATGAACTGATATTTTTATGTCTATGTCTTTGTTTGCATCCACTTAAGCTGATTTTTTGGCTCTCACTCTTTCAGCGTGCAGAATCAAGTCCTTCGAGTAAGACGGTTCAAACGTCGATTGATGATTCAGATAACATCAGCGGTTATAAAAATTTAGAGGTGACATTGGCACCGAAAGAAAAGGGTAAATCGCCCAAGGATCTCTGTTTTACGGACGAGGCGACAGAACTGAGCACTGACTAAGTAAGTTCTTGTATATTAAACTTAGCAGGATGGTGAAGAGTACATTATCGATTACTTTCTTTCGATTATATCCTAAAGGAAAACACACAAGGTGCCAGTTGATCAGTTAAAGATGACAAATCTATCTCGGGATTGCACCTACAAAAATGGCGAGATTTGCTTTATTTTTATTGAAATATATTAGATATGTATTTACTTGCACCACGCATAAAACAAAGTAAACCCAATTTTTAAATCTGGTAAATTAAAAAATTAGTGAATTGATAGGATGTTATCAGACAGTTTAATTTTTTTGAAAACAAATATTTACCTACAGGTTCCTCCTGAATGGCTTTCAAAATTCCAACTACCATCGAGGGTAAGAAACTTTTCTTTGTTTTGTTTTTTAAGTCTACAAGCAATCCTTATTTATTCATGAATACTGAACTAAAACTGAAGTGCATAGAGGTATGATTTCTTTTCTTGATAAGTACACATACAGTTTGGTGAAAATACATCATTGATGATCACCATTAGTGTGTTTTTACTTCCTATGCACAGTTTGCTTACAAATATTTTGCAGCTTTGTAGTTGCAAAAATTTACTGTTCTCCAACAACAAATTAATTTGCTCATTTGTTTGTTTTTTTGTACAGTTCTCTGCCTCAGTAGAGTTGGATACCCAGAAGGGATATCTCATTAGCAGCCTAAAGTACTCTGAGCAACAGTGGATTGCAAAAAAAAATTATTGCATAGTATCCTTGTATGGTTAGCAGGATACTAGACTAAGTTGACTTGGAAACTGAATGGATTGGTATGGTCTAAAAATCTATTGCTTCACCTCTTCTGTTTGCAGTGAAGAGAGACAATTTTGTGGTGATGAATCTCTTGCCTTAAACTAAAAAGTTGCAAAATGTCAGACAGAACTTTTCTGTCTGACAAACTTAGGCACAAAACTCAGTCACAGAGAATTGATCGTCCTCTTTAATTCTTTAACTTAAGTGTGTATATATATATTTTTTTTTTTTTCTGGCTACAGGCACTTTTTTTGCTTTGGCTTGATTTTAATGTGGTTGTAAAACTTGTTTTTATTGTATAGAGTAGCTGATGTTGATTCAGCAATCAGAGATTATGTCCAGCACAAATTTTAATTGTTGGAGATCTTCAATACATCAATCACCTGAATATAGTAACAGAGGGAAGTGTAATTTCTCACTTCTCACAAGAAAAGATTCTTGATGCTCTCATTGGGTTACTTGGCTCATTTATATTTTCTTACAATCGGTCAAAGGCAATTTTGACTTTTTTTTAGAGCAAGCATTGCTTGAAATTGGGCACAGGCAGACTCTTGTCACTGTTTCCTCTATTTTCAATGACTTGGCAAATGCCTGTGGTAGTACTAGCTGATAGTTTATATTTTGATAATATCTAAAGTAGCAATATGAGTGCATGTATTCTCACACCCACTGGAAGAATACTCTTTGCTGCTCTGAGGCTCTTTGTTTTTCATATGCACAAATCAAACAAGACCTATATTCTTGTGCAGGAACTGGACCATTTGTTGCCTCTGTCTTATTTTGATAATTTTCTGTACTTTAAATCAGTCTTAATTATAAGCTGCTTTACATTACCACATTTGCTAAGTCATTGAAAAGGGAAGCTTTACTCACAAGTGTCTCTTGGGTGTAACTTCTTGCAATGCTTGCACTGTTAAGAAGTATATTGATTTAGGGAAGAGATCTATTTTAGAAAATGGTTGAATTAATGTTAAATATGTATGTATGTTATATTCTTTCACATGATGTTTCAAAGTTTGTCTGTTTTATACCACAATTAAGATTCTTAATAACTGTAAAATCAGGTAGCATAAAAGGTTTTTACATAAACAATATCTAGAACCTAATAAATGAGTGTTTGAAAGATAAAGTATGTGGTGTATTTTCATTATTTGAATGTAAGGGGGAAAATCAGCATGGAGAGGAAAGAGCCCTCTACTTCTGAAGTGGCCCACATTGGAGCTGAATTGGCTCTTTTAAAGGGGCCATTTGAGAGAGGGCTGAAATTTGGGGCTGTTTTGGCCCCTATAAATTTCAAAGTGGCCCCTGTATTTTCAAATTCACCCTTCACATGGTCCAATTTGGCCCCTACAACGGGGTCAATTCAGCCCCAAAATTGGTGCCAAAAACAGCCCCATTTCAATGGGGCCGAATTGACCCTAAGCAAGTGCCAAACTGGACTCACTCGTTTTGGCCCCATTTTTGGGGCCAAATCAACTCTTTTAATTTTACAGTGTACAAAAACACATAACCCCATTTCACTCAAACGAACAAGAAATGTATTTTTAATCACTGGAGGCTTTAATATCAGTACTGTATCCTAAAATATTGTTATTACAAAAATCTGCCGTTATAATTCGTATTATTTGCGATAAAAGTTAATAATTTTACAAACAAAGTAGGGAAACGCACAGAGTTACGTAGATAAATTTCTTTAACGTTGCGTCCCTTCTTGTTAATACCAGTTTCTGGTAAACCCAATGATGAATACAGTAAGTTTATACATGTGTAATTTTTTTAAGGTTTTCATTTATACAGTTCTGTGAAATGATCTAATTATACTACTCTAGTATGTTTACAAGCTCTTTGTGTATTTTATAATGAAAATATAACTAGCATAAAAATCGCGGACAAAAATCAATTGATCATTTAATCTTGTAGAAGACGAAGGACCCACAGTCGATTTAGTCTTTGACCTTACTGTGATGACAACACAGTATTTAAAAGTTTACACAATTATTTGCAATAATCAAATAGTGTTTTTTCTAATTTAACAAGTTCTCTGTATATTTCGATCGTGCAACAGTATAATGCACCTATAGGGAAAGAATCGGTAACAAAAATCACAGGCAAAAAATTAAAACTAATCCAGATGTGATCTAAGAAAATGAGAAACTCTTATTGAAGAACAGCAGCTGTCATTTAAGAAGAACATTAATCTTCCGTTATAATTTCTCACGATCCTAAGACATAAGAACTATATAGATTTCTAGATTGGTAACACCTATGGGTTAGAGTGTTTGATGTTTGTCGAAGATGAAGGTCCCACCGTCAATATTGACCTTTAATCGAACTGATAACGTTTCTACCCTGGCTTTTTCATTCTTTTTGTAATGGAAGTCAAGTAATACTCTGCTTAAACTTTGCAGTAATTTCCTTTTTTTTTTTTTTTTAATTTTTTCTTTTTTTTTGGCTTAGTTTTATTACATTTGTTGCACTACTTTTTTTTCCTGTTTTGATCATTTCGCATCGAGATCCAAAGTACAATCGGCAATATTAAACAATGAGATGATTTTACACTTTCTCTAAACAATTCTGTGAGAAGAAGGCTGTATTACCTGATGGCAAGCTTTTCCAAACATTTAATTTTTCTGAAAAATTAGACCCAAACTTTTGACTAGCTTACTATTAAATCTCGTTATTGTTGCACCTTGGTTGTGACGCACATTTAATTTTAAAACCAGGGCCGGGTTGTTCAAAGCTGGGTTAAGATAACCCAGGGTTAGTGTGAAACTGATTTCAGATCTGAAAGCTTTAGAAGAAAATTCAGTCGAATAATTTTTGTCTAGAATATGACTATTTGATGCTCTAAAAGGAACGCAGAAAATTATCCCAAAAAGTATTTTGAATAAAGGAATAAAGAAACCAAGATTTCAATTTAACCTTGGGTTAGCGCTAATTGGTCTTCGAACAACTGGGCCCAGATCTTGAAGGAGGATGGTAAACGTGACAATTCACCTCTCTGCCAGTCCCTCAAACACAGACTCCTGTGGCTTCATAAGTTTGCGGATTATGTGCATTGAAGAACTGAAACTCAGGGTCAAAGTGAGGCCAAGTGCTGCAGTGCGAAGAGCTGTGAGTTTTAACTTGTTCAGGGAGCCTTGAGAATTAAGGATGAAATAAAACACAGCTACTATGTCACTTTCAACATAAGCACAGATCATACACACACTGATGTAGAACACATACCTTGTGACAACTTTGTGTTTGTTGAGGATGATAATGAAAAGAAAATTGGAAACTGTGCACATCATATTGTAAACCATAAAAAAGAGAAACTGCGAAGAAATAGGTCCGAGGGAACAGTATGGCACGATTGCACATAATAAGAGCAAATACATGTTGGATGAAAACCAGTCACTTCGAATCAACTTTGAACCGTTTGTCAAAACGGTCCAAGTACTCGCACAATTAAACCTACTGTAAATGAAAAAACAAAAGATTTGAAAAGCTGACCACCAAAAAGTGAGAATACATGAAACCCGACGTGCTTTTCCAAGGGGGAATTTAGTGCTGTTGTCGGGTAGAATAGAGTTCCAAAAGTTTTTTTGCTTATTTCTTTCTTGTTCATCAAATCGGAAAAAAGACCATCCCCCACTTGATATACCTACAGGGAGCGCTGCCAGAGTGAGAAGCACGTAACCAAGACAAACTGCGAGGTAACGGATTCCAAATATCCTTGTCACACGAACTATAATTCTGCCCATGTGGTTAATTGTTGTTATATCAGTGTCTGTGTCTGCTGTAGTGATTAGAGGTTGAGTCTCACTTTCAATTTCCCCGCCGGTGATGTCTTGTATGTTCTGTTCCTGACTCTCCTCGACTCTTGGGACTAACCGTGCATTTTCCTCGTTATCAGCTGCAGATTCCTCATGGACTTGTTGTGATATCGTCACACAACAGAGTTTCTTCTTTCGTCTGAGCCATTCGAGCGTGATAATTGGACCCAAAAGGAACCAGTATTAAAGTCTCTTTAGGTATTCTGCCATGTTGCTGAGCTCATCAGACCCTTGTTCATCAGTTACAATAAAATTTACAGCTGTTTTGTCTACAGCCTTGAGTAAGTGATCGTCATCAACAGGGTAGAAAGATTCTGAAGTGGTTTGATTCTGACAGTTCTCAACAAACACAAAGGGAATCAATATCTCTTCTTGCATATGAGGTTTTGTTACATCTCCATCTGATTCACAATGTTTGCTGCCAAAATATGTCACCACAGAGTATCCAGCGTTCTGTGCATTAAGTGCTAGATCTCCACACGAAAATGCCGCTGTGTCATCCTTAAGCGTGACGAGAGCGATTTTGTCGACATGTATTCTTGACTTGCTTACGTCAACCAGAGGTTGACGTGCATTGGCCAGTCTGGAAACCACTGCTAAGCCACTCAAGCGAAGATCTTGGTCTGCTTCAGTTTTCGATGCTTGCAGAAATGATTCCAGCGAAGGACGATGGTAATATCTGGATGTATTTGCAAACCATGGCGTAGAGAGATAGCAAACCACTTCCGGGATGCTTACGAACGACAAAGTTTTTGTGTTATAAGGGAAGAAGTATGAATTGCACAAAACGCTAGCGGAACCTTGAAAAGAGAACGAAATAGACGCAAAGGTAACGATCAGCAGGATGAAGAAAAAAGAACCGCCAATAACCAAGCATTTTGCAGACATGCTGACTATAAACGCAAAAGCGATATTATTCAAAACCTGCCCTTGTAGAAGAATGCACAGCGAAGGTATATCATTATACCGCTGACCGAAAATAATAAGGCACAACAGACAAGTTCTTGAACATTTATCAACATCTCAAGTATAGTTTCTTCATTTAGTATCAAATGTGAACGGAGTCAGATCAAATTTTCAACACCTATTTTATCGAGTTTTCTTTGTCAAACAAGTCTTGTACTACTGCGGATATCGCTTCTACTGTAATCAGTGCTTTAAATGCTCTTTACCAAACCAATACTTCAACTGTTGTAATCTAAACTCAGAGTCGGAGAGGCTTATAAAGTGCTGCCTGAAACAACGTAAAACACATACCCTACGACAAAATTATGCTTGTTGAGGATAATAGTACCGAGGAAATGACGTACAAGAGATCATAAGCAAGATGATAAATTAGCAACCATTAATTAGAGTCTATTAACCCTTTACACCCTAACATCAGTATCCATATTCTCCATATTCTTCTCTTTACATTTCATGTAGCATTGATGAGGAGAATTCATTTAACAATCAAAGCTTCTTAGGTTGGCAATCATTGCCTTTATCCTCATGATTTTAATGAATGTCTCAGCAGTATAACTGTAAGGAGGAATCAAAGATGGTTGCTCTCGAGGTTTGGAGAGTTAACAACCTGAAAGACACAGAAAACATTGAAAAGATTCCTTTTTTAATGTGTAGTCTTGATTTCCTTGCCTTATTTTTTCCTGCTTAGAGTTGGGTGAAGATGTCTGAACCGTAGGATTCATTCAAAACTTCAGGCATCAAATTCAGGAAGGGGAAATGGTACAGGAGAGGGAAACAACAAATTCATGTATTTTAATTGGTAGTTTTAGGTAACAAGGCATTTTAAGGGTGAAAAAAAATTTAATCAAAAGATGTTTTTAATAGTAAATTGTTAACTTTGTGTTAGTTTTAAGTCAATGTAAATAGGTTTCATGGATTAATATAGACAGTTTTAAGATTTGCATACAAAGAAGGTAAGAGGTAAAGTCATATTATGTGAACACTTGGATTGCATTAACCCTTTCACTCCCAATATCAAAATATCACCTCTTCACTGTTCAAGGTTAAGTTGGAATATCAAATCTTAATTATCTGAATGTGAATCTAGAAAAGTTTCTCTGTAACTAAGGGGTGTTAAAGTTATTAGACTACAGTGTTTCCTTTTATTAACAACTACTTTGTGAAAGGAAGACGATTTAGGCTATCAAAACGAGTTATCACAGTACTATGTATTCTCATAACTTGTGCAGAAACAGGGGAAAGAGAGGATTCTGATCATTACCTATCAGTTGTATTATGGATGGTATAGAAGATCAGGAATGAATCTTTTGTAGGATACAAAATACAGCAATTGGAATTGATTTCCTGTTTTATTTTTCAGAATTCAGCTCTATAGTTGAGAGAGGTTAAATGGATCTCAAAGGGTGCACCTGGTTTGTCTGTGTCAGATGCATAACATTGTAACTTTAGTCTTAGACCTTAAATGGTGCCAATAAAGAAACAACAGACAATACATGAGACTCCCACAAGTAAGCTTCTATGACCAGGATTTTTTTTCTACTCTGCAGTACTGTAATAGAGTGCTTGTTATCCCGGCTGACATCCCCAGGTTTTTGGGAATAGTAAGTGTACTCCTAAGGGACCCAGTAACCCCCACTCCCACCCCTCTATTGCCTGGGGGAGGAGAGGAGTATAACTGGGGGGAATCACAATGTTTGCAAAGGGAACGGAAAGGGAATCAGTGGTCGCAAACACAGTATTAAGGGGACTAAAGAAAATAAACTGCCATTTAACAGCCAGTGAGGAATATCAACAAAGCCTTATGGGGGGATCTGGTAAATTTAACCCCCATCCCATCCGGCGGTAATAATCACCGGTCCCTTTATCAATGCTTTAATGTTGTGCTGATATTCATGGCTCTTGCTGTCCTCGCAAGATCAAAAGCATCATCCAAGGAGTTTTTTGCCAGCGCCATAGAGTGCATTTCCTCGGGAAGTTGGTCAATCTGTGTTTTAAAAAAAAATCTGCCAATGTAAGCAAATTGTAAGCATACGAGCAGTTTTTTCGTATTAATAATGTTAGCTAGTTTTGATTTGCATCAGGAAAAGAGGATCGAACTGAGAACGTCAGCATTTAAAATATGCATCGGAAAAGCGAAATGAGCCGCAGACAGACTCTAATGGGGCGGAGGCTGACATAAATCAAACTTGAACAACGCCGCGTCGGGGAAATAAAACCTCCAAGCGTCTATCAGATTCAACTGGTTTATTAATCACTGGAAAGCTCGTGAAAACTCAAATACAATAAATTAAAATAGCCCACTACCATACAATAAACGCTAATCGAAATGTCCTAAACTCGAACGCGGGGCGTGCATGTAGGTAAATCAAAACAACATATATATCTAAAGCGAAACAAAACTACCTTCGATTAGACGCCTTTCGGTTTATAAATACAAGAATAAATAAGATGACATACCTCTTTCCCTGTTCTATTTTTCCTAGTATTTAGACAATCCTTCGATCTGCTTGTGCTTGCAACTAACCCGTGTCTCGCGGCCGAATGAAACATAATGCCGACAATTCGAAGGTTTGTCACACAAAACAAAACAAAAGGATATTGAACGTCACGCAAATAACCTAAGGTGTTCGTGACTGCGTGACGTCAGTTATACAAATCTTTATTCAAGTGATCGCTAATCGCCAGGAATCGTTCAGAATTAAGGTTCCGTACTCTGCGGCCGGTCAAAATATTTACATCCTCTATCCTTTTGGACGAGATGTTACTCTTAGACACAAAGATATTGACAAGAAACTTTAAGATGTTATCAATTACATATTCTTGCGGTGTTTTAGGTTCTTAAATAAATGACCTCTTAAAATATTTATAAACTACACTGTCTCAATTTAGGTTGTTTACATACATACATACATACATACTTTATTAACGTGGCTGACACTTAGCTATATAAAGCCAGCTTACAGGTCAGTCACCAACAAAACAGATGGAAATGCTTCATAATGATTCGAAAGTTAAATTCGATCCTATCTTTGGAATAATTGTATCCATGATCGGACCGTGGAATCTCATCGGTTTCGAACCTCCTAGAACCGTACGTACCCGGCATTGAAAATGTATCGTTCAAAATGACAAGAGTTTGCCAGAGATATAGTAAAGTTCAGGCTCTTGAAGTACAAACCCACTGTGCTCAGTTCATTTGATCTTTTGGAAAGCCAAGTTGGGTCTGTTTTCTCAAGATATGAATCATCAATAAAATATATATATATATATATATATATATATATATATATATATATATATATATATATATATATATATAAATATATATAAAATCATCTTTCTCAGACATCCAGGTCGTGGTCTTCGGTTTGGGAGACATTCAACTAAAATATAAGCCTCACAACCTTAACGCACCTTCACCGATGCAATACCTTGGCAGTATTTCAGTCAAATATGGCCAAAGCTTGTCAATCAGTAGTTGATGAAGGAAAGGCTCATTGCTATGAAGAAGGAATATGCCACCGCGCAGTTGTATTTAAATAGCCTTTACTTTTGGATCTGGGCCCAATAATCACGCTTTTTTGACTCAGAAAGTCAAAGTTGATGAGAGGTGATAGAGCAACTGTAAGCAATAGTTTTCTGGCTAACGCAAGTCGATTAGCGAGTTTATTGGTGAACCTCAGCGTCGCAGAAGTGGCTCTCTACAATGGTTGTGTGATCCTCGTTGTAACAGCGATCCGGTAGAAATATTCAGCGGAGGATTGTCCTACTTTTGATTTGATAAAAGTGAAGAGATTCAGACCTGAACCGAAAGGAAAAGCATTTCTAAATTTGTCTGTGGTGGTCGCCTCTTCAAGTATTTTGTTTCCTTACGTAAAGTCGGTTCGCCTGAGAGGCTACCTAGAGGGGTCATGTAAACTTTTCAAAGCTGATCCAAATTAAAAACCCTTTACATCTTTAAA